TTGCCTTGACACACCAATTCAAGACTTGTGTAGTTCTATCAAGTTTGACACTAATAGGGCCTACAAAGCAAAGAGGGTAGTCAGAGTCTCAGTAGCAAAATAAATTAGAACTGATGGAAATTTTTTAGGAAATAGGGTTTGACGAAAACAAATTTGTTCAACTTAGTATTAGTTGATTCAGAGTTTCTACAGCGAAAATATGCTAAAAACTTCATTGGAACATTTAGGTCACACTAGAAATTGGAATAGGTTGAGGAAGATGAACTGAACATGTCTAGTATCCTGTGCAGCATGTTATTGTTCTAATTGAACCAAAACAACTAGGTCAGTTTTGGCAAGCAAACCATTCCAACTCGGCTTTTCTATATGCTTGTGTACAGGAGTCATTCTGCTCAAAGGGAAACTATATATATATATATTGTAAGTCAGAAATATATATAGCTGTCAAGTCAGAAATAGATATAGTAAGTGATGAAAAAATTGATTTTATGAATTATTTCTTAATAATTAAGGTACAAAAGGAAAGAATTTTCTTCAAAACATTTCATGAGAGCTTTAGACTTTGCTGCACTTCAAAGATTTGCATTTAGTCTTCAATCATGTGGCCAATTATAAGCGCAGTTGTTCTCACCATGAAGACTGCTTCAGGTTTCTGGGAGGAAAAAGACTCCAAGACAAGTAAAGCTTCCTTTTCAGGTTAGGCATGAGGCTTGTATGTTTTCTATTAGTAAAATGGTAGAAATGAAGACCACAACTTTTGACATTGTTTCTATCAGTTCATCCATGCTTAATTCATATTTGACATGATTAATTTCAAGCTAGAGGAATGCTTTGTTATTGTTTCCACACATCTGTAGATTTGTGTTTTCTCCGTGTCCTGGGAATGGAATTAGTCAAAGACACTTCAAGTTGGCATGCTTGTTAGAGTGTTAATCTGCTGCCTGCATTTCATGCTCAACAAGCAGATCCTTGTTCCATTTTCTGTCTTCAAAGATCTACTGCTACTGCTCCTGATGTGGGATGAGTTCATGGCTGCCACCATGATTTGGGAGGAAGAGTGCACAACCTTGGGCACTGTTCATGTCTGTAAACATGATCAGAACACTGGAAGCAAAAAGCGTGCCTGAGCCATCATCAGATTCGGGCATGCAATGACTGATGATGAGCTGATTTCTAAGGAGGGCGGTGGCTGCATCTTTGACTTCTAAAAGGTTGACATGATTGGATTCAGGCGTGCTCGAAGTAGGTTTTCTCTCAGCATGCCCGGCAACTAGAAGAAGGGAAGCATCACCTGGTTTCATACCTGGGTATGTCAATTTCAGGTACGACTTTCCATCGTGTTAATTATTACATTCCCTCTCCCAATCTACCTTAAGAAAATTAAAAGTTTCTCATGCTATCTAACTGATACAGTTAATTTTGGGTAGGTTGAGAATGATATTATTATAGTTTTTGAGTATCAGAAGAGGAAGAGTTTGAGTAAAAGCCACCCCGTCGTTGTTATTCCTGTTCATTTTGATCTTATTTCATGGAACAATGCAAGCTTCCAAGGGTTAAATCTATGATTGATGTTGTCCCAACCAAGGCAAGAACTAAGAGGAAGAGTTTGGTGTTCCCCTCGCTGACCATCAACAAGTAGGTAGTTGTGATGTCATGCTTTGTAACACAGCGACATCTTCCAAAACCAGTTGTCAGTAACGGACCGTGATGACTCTGTTTCCGTCGTTATGGCGTCGGCAAGTAAGTACAACTTTGTTCATGCGAGCAAATCTGGGTGGGTGAGAACGCAGAACGTAAAAACACGGCCCGACCGGTAATTATATTCCCTTCACACCACCCTACCGCAGTTTCTCGAATAGCAATTTGGTTCCATTTTGCTCTCCTCGGTTGACGCCTCAACCCAACCCGAACCCACCTTCGTAAATGCCCACCACCTGCTCGACCCTTTTTATTCCCCCTCCTCTGTTTCCGCTTGGCTCACTTCCGCAACCCCATTGCGTGCATCATAGGAGAGAAAAGATGGGCAACAGTTTGGGTGGGAAGAAAAAGATGGTTAAGGTGATGAAGGTGGACGGCACCACGGTGAAGCTGAAGCCACCGGCGCAGACCACGCAGGCGCTGCGGGACCATCCGGGCCACACCCTCCTCGACGCCGAGGAGGTGAAGCGCCTCGGGCTGCGGGCACGGCCGCTGGACCCGGACGCGGCCCTCAAGCCGGGAAAGCTCTACTTCATGGTGGAGCTCCCCCGGCTGCCGGACCGCCGCGCCCCCCGCAGGGCCTCGTCCGGGGCGCTCCGCGTGAGCGCCAAGGAGCGGCTGGAGAGCCTCCGGCTCGCCCGCCGCTCCATGTCGGACCTCGCCATCGCGACCCCGGCGCCGCCCTCTGTCGAGGCCGAGGAGGCCATGGACGGAACCGTCCGCCTCAAGATGAGACTGCCCAAGGCGCAGGTGCAGAGGCTCATGCGGGAGAGCAAGGACGCCACCGACGCCGCGCAGAAGATCATGCATCTTTGTGCTGGAAAAGATGGCAGTAGCCCGTCGCCCTCGCCGGAGCCAACAACGTCAACTGTGGACGCCGGACGCAAGGAGGTACGCGTTCTTCTCCTTCCGAACCCCTTTAGTCCTCCTCTGCTTCCCAATTACCCCTGTGAACCACCATGGCTGTGAGTTTGCTCGGTGGGGTTGCATTGCTGATGTTAATTCGGTGACTTGAACGAATCATAAGAAGCACAAGCGTACGTCCGTATACAGTGCAAGATCCAAAGGCTTATCCTATGAAGAACATGCTGTTATAGGTGTAACAAGGATGAGACTGTCAGTATCTCCATGGCTGCAGCTGTGATGGTCATCAAGCTAGTTGGAGTGTTCGTGTCTGTAAAGAAACAACACGATGCACAATGCTTTCCTATGCAGTCTTATCCTTAGCGGGAGAAACTGCTTTCATGGGTTGAGTCCTAATCACTCAGATCACAAAGAAGCAATTCTAGGTAGCATCATGAAAGACAATTACAAGTACAGTAACATGTGAATTGGATCTATGTTCCACAGATTTGTTAGGTCATGTATCATAATCATTGTTGTTTTGTTGCATGGTTGTAGCATTTTGGTCAAAATGGTTGTGGTGCATGGAAGCTACTGACCCAAACCATACAACTCAATCTGACTACCCTCTCTTGCGAAGTTAAGACCGTTTCCACTAGTTTAATGGGCTTTTTGTGATTGATTGTTGCAGAAGAGAACGAGGTTTCTTGCTGTCAAATAGTCAACCATCAAAGCTGCCAAATTTTCAAGTCACTTCACTACTCCAAGTCAATGTAGAAGCAACAGAATCACCAGATCTTGTAGATTTATCAGAGAAGAAAAGGAATTGTGGGTGGGAACATGCGAAGCTGCCTACGGCTTCCTCGTCCCCTCGAAGCTGTCAGATGGTGCTTTCTTTACTACTTACTCTCCATTGCATGGAATTCCTGATGCAGATGGGATGGGCAAGAGGGTGGGATTCCCACGGGATTAAGAGCTGTGGATTTGTTTCCATAAGCAGCAGATCCGTGCTTATCCAAGCTTCTCGCTTTCATCTGTCCTGAACATTTTTTTTCTTTCTAAAAAATAAATAATTAATAACTAAGTAAATCTGAACTTGGAAGACTAGAAAAAGTGCTATAGGATTTGTGCCAAACTTGATGTGACTTGCAGATACAAGTGTAATTTATCCACAGGAATATTATTTTTATTTTTTTAATATATATATATATATATTATAATAGTATATATAATAATCATATTATATTATAATGTTTTTGAATTTTGGGATTGATTTAAATATAATTTGTATAATTAGACATTTGGTATACTTATTAAAGAAATGATAAAGAGATTACTAATTGAACCCTACCACCATGGGCTGGTCAAGGCATCCCATAATAGGTCATCACATCAAATGTTTGCATGATTTGAGGAGCAATGGTGAGTCATACGTAACTCGTACTCGATGTACCACAAGATATAATAATCTTGCCTAACTTGAGCTGTTGCTTGACCTGCTTGCTAACATAATCCTATCCCAGAGGCAATCAATCTATGCTCGCATAATCCAGTCTCAGAGCTGACCCTTCCTCGATTAATTCAAGTGTTTGCTCCTCGCAGGCGAGGGATTGACTCACTCATTGTGTGGTCTCACCCATTCAATTTCTACTCAGGATAAAAGAAAAATATTAGAGACATCTAACACATTTCAAAATATTTTCATACCATATATTTGTCCAAGATAAATAAGTATTTAAAACACTTGACATATCTTAAAATATTATCTTTGCATATAATGAATGCATTGAAAATATTTAAAACGAGACTCCCAATTAATTAGATTTACTATTTAGACCATTTGATTAATAAAAATGTTAAAATATTCTCAATATTTATTTAATTACCATATATATATATATATAAATAAGATTGTCCATTATAAGGATGACAGGGAAAGAAATATTATTATAATAATATGTTAGCGTGTCTATTAATTTCCTATCATTATTTGCCATATATTATTTTTTAAAAATAATAAACCTACGATTGACATATTGATATTATAATAAATGATCTAACAAACCGAGACTCGTTCCGATCGATCTCCAATCCATTTCTGTACGAATTATAAAGCTTGGTCACCAAGGATCAATCTTAGTGAGCAAGTCTTGTCTCTCTTTGGAAAATCTAGAATCGATACTTCGAATCTAAAACGGGCTCCATTGCCTTCAAACTCCGAACCAAACGTTCGACACCGTGTCGGGCCCCACCACGAGTCCGTGAGTGAGTGAGAGGGGGCCACGGTAACGGCAGGTGGGGATCGATGGGGGCGTGCATCTACTTTCACACCTAGTTGGATATTTTATTATTATATAATGTTTGATGTTCCCAAAATTTAACGCTCAAATGTTTACCCGCTTGGCTGGCTCGTTTATGATGAGAGCCAATGGGAAGAGAGAGCTTTTGGGATGCGTCTGTGGGGACGTTTTTATAATGCTCGAGGATCTTCCTCTCCGTCGGTCTCCTCCCAACACCCCCTTATGCTTCTTCGTCGTCGTTCTCCCTCCCTTCCCTTATTCCCAACTAATTCTACTACAAATCGCAACACAATCCTACATCTCCGAGTCCAGTATAATTCTTACCATTGTTGTTATGGATGACATGAAGGACAAGATGAAGGGGTTGCTGAAGAAGGTGAACAATCCCTTCTCCTCCACCTCCTCCTCCAAGTTCAAGGGTCAAGGCCATGTCTTAGGCTCCGGCACTCCTCCCTCCTCCTCCTCCTCCTCCTCCTCTTTGTCTCACCCAAGACCTTCCAATCCGCCTCCCCGATCCCCTCCCTCCCGCCGCACCCCGTCTCCCTCTTCCTCCTCCGCCGACTTCGACCCCTTCGATCCCCTCATCTCCTCCGGTAGGCAGGTCGAGAACGGCCCCTCGGTCCCCGCCCCCTTCGCCTGCCCCGTATGCACCCGCCCCTTCCCCACCGAGGCCGACGTCTCCGCCCACCTCGACGTCTGCCTCGCCCACGACGCCTCCGCCGCCCCCGATCCCGCGATGGCCGACAGCAGCGACGTGGCCGCTCGGGTCTCTGCGTTCGTCTCCTCGGGGCCCCCGCAGGGAGCGGTGGAGGTGGTGCTGAAGTTGCTGGGAAACGTGGCAAGGGAGCCCCAGAACGAGAAGTTCCGGCGGATACGGATGGGGAACCCGAAGATCAAGGAGGCCGTGGGCGCCAGGGGAGGGGTGGAGCTGCTGGAGTCCGTGGGGTTTAGGTTAGCGGAGGAGGAGGGCGAGGTTTGGGCCACTATGGAGGCCCCGTCCGAGGAGCAGATTGCGGTGATTAAAGAAGCAACGACACTGTTGGAGAGTTGGAAGTCAGAGGGTTCTGTTCCGGTGGTAGTATCCGATGTGAAAACTCAGAGATCAATTGAGCCGAAGAAGATTGATAGGCAGGTATGTGCTTGTAGAATCTCTTCCCTGTGACATGATATGACTGGCATCTAGAAATAATTTGAAATATTTAGTTTATGCAATTTAGAATGCGTACTTAGTTGCATTGTTCCAATTCTTTATTTATAAGGCAACTGTGGAAGTGGTTTTTGTTAGGAAGACATCTAGATCTGCAAAAAATTATCATTTAGATCATATTAGGGCAAACCCAGTAGCTTCCACTGATGCATCTAGAGAGGATCGATATATGCAACCGTAGTTCTATATTCAGAGAGGCTGTCTCTGAGACCTGAACACTGGTCTATAATAGGAGTGAAGTTGACTAGTTTAAATTCTATTGGTTCATTGATTCAGTATCAAAGGTTGAAATTTGGTAGTTAATGCAAGAATAACAATATAGATAGCTGTATCAAACAAGCATATAGTTTCTGTACAATCTCTCTGGAATTTTTTTGATTTCTTCTTCTTTGCTTTGAAATGAGAACACGGAAGAGAGATGTGCAAGTCAAGAAATTTTCATTTCACTTCCGAAAACAAAAGTAAGCCTCTTTTGTACTTGATATTATGCCTTCTTTTGTTTCATTCTCTCCGTTCTATCTGTCATCTGCTACATATGCTTCGTTATATCTCTTAGCTCATAGCTTGTGTCGCCTTCGAATTGCTGCCTCTCTTCATCCTCATTGCTCCTTTTTTTGACTGGACACTTGGCAATTCCTTACCTTTCCTGCCCAAGCTTCTCATCTTCTCTATGTTACTTACCTATTCTTGTCGCTTGACTGGCTTACCTTTCCTCTATTTATCCATTTATTCCTAAGAGAGAAAGAAGAAAGGCTTCCTTCTCTGCGGCACCTGATCTTCTAATGTCTTAGCTATTCAGTGCGATAAGTAAGCCTTAAGCAACAACGTAGAAGAGCAGGAGGAAGAGTACTTTTTCCTTTGTGTCACCTATTTCACTCTTTCCACTCAGTACAAGTTTTTCGATTATATTTTCCCATTGATATTCGGTGCCTGTTGATATCATGGTGCCATACCAGTCTGATGCCTGGTCGTAATATGGTGCAGACTGTTAGTGAAAATAGAAAACTACTATATGACATAAAGAAACCAAAGCTGCTACCTAAATATGTAAAGTACAAATAAAAAAGACTAATATCTCGATCAAGAAAAGAAAATGAGGAAATTCACTTTTATGAAGCAAAAGAGCTGAGAAGAAGACATGAGGACGACTTGCAAATGAGAATGGATGTTTTCAGTGTATGTTGGTCGTTTCATGATTTAGAAAAAACGATCATCACAGGTCACATACTTAAGAATTTGTTGGTCAAATTGCAGTCTGCAATATAGCAGTGAACAAGACCAAAAAGAAATGAAGCTTCCTCCATCAGGAAACAAGGAAATTTAGACACAGATTCGACCAAAAAATAAAAGAACAGCAATTGTATATCTTGTGATATTGTTGATTGCCCTAGGCATGAGATTGAACTACTTTTACTTTAAATTTAGCTATTCTGTTGCTTTACTTTATTTTAATATAGAAATAAGCTAGATTTTACTGAAAAGGGTGGGCTTTTGTGTCATGTTAAGATGCATACTGTCAAGTGAAAGCTTCTGATTGTCTACTTTAATGGTCAAATACCAAATTAATTTTACAGGTTAAAGTTTTCTTTCCTGTTCCTGAAAGTGTTCTTTACAGGTTAAAGCTTTTTCTTTGTTTTAATATAGAAATAAGCTAGATTTTACAGAAGTGGGTGGGCTTTTGTGCGATGTTAAGAGGCTTACTGTCAAGTGAATGCTTCTGATTGTCTACTTTAATGGTCACATACCAAATTAATTTTACAGGTTAAAGTTTTCTTTCCTGTTCCTGAAAGTGAAGCAGCAAGGATTGACCTTCCAGATTCTTTCTATAATCTATCTTCCACTGAGCTAAAGAGAGAAGCTGATCTAAGGAAGAAAAGGTTGGCAGATTCTCAGCTATTAATTCCCAAATCATATCGGGAGAAGCAGGCCATGGCTGCTAAGCGTAAGTATAAAAGGGCAGTTGTTAGAGTTCAGTTTCCGGATGGAGTGCTTCTTCAAGGTGTATTTCTTCCTTGGGAGCCTACTACAGCACTTTATGAGGTTAATTCCTAAAACTTTATTTTTATTAAGTTTTTCATTCCCCTTGCTAGTATTGGTACGAGAGTATTATTATTTCTTTTGCAAACTGTAGAAGATGTAAACATTCTTGGTTGATAGAAAGACAAGATATAGTAATCGAGTATTTGTGATGGTTACATATCAAATTGCACTTTGCTCCTAGTTTGTCTGAGCACCATTTCATAATTTATTTTTTCTTTTGTGACTATAATGATACCCTTCATGTTAACCAAGTATTTTCACAGCACTGGTCTTAGAGAAATGATTGGTTTTAGCAGTGTTGTACAAGCACAGCATTGGAGTCAGTTGTTTTTAGAAGGGCTATATCTTGAAGTTTTAACAAGTGAAATTCAGATTAGAGTCATTAGACTGCTACTTGTAAGGGCTAGAGATAACTCAGGTGTCACTACAATGAGGTATGAATTTCCCAAAATTTATCTGTAAGTTGCCATTGGTTTCATGCCTAACTTTAAACTGCAGATTAGACTGCTACTGAAGCCATCTTTGTTAGGACTACCCGTGGCAGTGTTGCATACTTTAAAAGGCTGTCTTATAGGGCATGAAAACACATCCATTCTTCCTCGTCCTCTACCTCCACCACCTCAGTCTTGTCCTCTTTGCCTCCGCCACCACCTTCTTCCCTCCTACCTCTCTTTTTTGTCTTCCTCTTCCATTCCCCTGCTTGTTCGTCCTCTTCTTCTTTCTTGTCAACTCGAAGCCTGAATTTAGGGATGACAACTGATGTGAAAAATATGGCCATGCTAGCAGCCAACTTGTCAGAAAAAAGCTTGGAAATGGCTGTTTGTGCCAAGTGGACCACCCTAATCGGCCAGAGATAGATGGTCCTAATGTTCTAAAATTGAGGGGCTGTTGTGAAAAATGCTAAGCATAGGGTTTAAGTGCCATTTTGGTTTAGTTTAGGGATCATTGGTTGCATTAATCTTGTGGCTAATTTAACTGTTGACATTATGAATGCTTTACTACATACCATATCGTTTATCTTCTTTCTATCTACCAAAGTCAGGAATATATGGCTGTGCAGTAAATTTGTTCCCTCCGATTCTTCAATGCTAGCTTGTATATACTGGTTTTTATTTCTTGTATTATTGGAATATAGAAAAAATTTCTTTCGTTGGATTTTAGAAGATCATTCAGGCAATTTTATGGTCAATGTCTAGATCACCTGTGCTATTCATATTTAAGCTCTTTTATCCTGTAAATTGACCTATTACAAAATAGATTGTTATAACTTTGGTGATTTAGTTAAGCAACTGAATGTGGTGATTCAGTCTTCGTTTAGCAGCTTAATGTGAAAGGGCCTGTCAAATGCGAATTCTTAAAAGTACAAATTTTGGAAGACTTCCATGCCTCCCACTTTGTTTGTTGAGACCAATGTAATAAAGAAATGATTGGGTAAAAGATTTTGACTTGTTTTTCCCTGTTCGGCAATGCTCATATATTTTTATTCATGTTAAATATTATCATCATATTGGTTGGGCTTTTAGGTGTGTATTCTAACTCTTACGGTATTCTGTAGTTTGTCAGCTCTGCTCTAAAGGACCCCAGTTTAGAGTTTGAGCTCCTACGGCCGGCAGTACCTAAGCTACGAGTGGTTCCTTTCACAAAACCAGGAGCCCGGGCAACAACACTGGAGGAGGAAGATTTGGTCCCTTCAGCACTTGTCAAGTTCAAGCCAACAGAGACAGATTCCATGGTCTTCACAGGCCTAACCAATGAACTCCTCGAAGCCAGTGAACCACTAAATAGTACAGCAGCTTTGTCCTAACGATGAAGTGGCTGGCTGACTCGATCAGTCAAAACTCCTATTCTTTTCAATATGTGCTGTTTTGGATACCGTAAGAACTGAGCGATTTCTCTCCCCACTACGTTGTTTTTATTTGTTCTCATAGGGTGAAAGGATGTATTGGTGATAAAGAAAATAAAAAATCAATTGGTTGCTGTGTGATCAGACGAATATACCGATGATGTATAAAGTGTAAGAATGTTCTTGTTGATTTCATGAAGAAAATTTTGAACTCAATATTGATATGAGTTGATGGGTGTTACAGATTATGTAACGAACGTCAAAAATTGGTTTGTCACTGAATATCGATATGCTTCACGCGGATATGATATGTGAATCGTTGGCCGATATGATATGTTATGTGAATCCTGACACATTGGCTGAGTGGTGCTTGTCGGACATATCGATGATGTAATTTATCTCAATGTTGATATGATCTATGATTCTGTGACATGTGGACTAATGAACGAAAGTAAAAAATCATAGTTACTGGACACTCATTCACATGTGAATGCGAATGTTGATATGATATGCTCTAACACATTGGTCAAGTAATTCTTGCTGATATGCTTTTCCACATTGGTTGAGTGATTCTTACCAGCACATCTGTAACATAATTTTGCATTATGTTCATCTGAATCTCTCTGCCATCTCGACACCGACCTTGTGATCGAATCAAGCCCGAATTAGGTTGACTCTGCGACTTCTGCAGATGCGTCCGATGATCAAAAACTTCATTAACCATGGACATGTCTGGTTTCTTTACCTTGATAAAAACCTGATTACAAGCTTACATTGGTAACATATTAGTTTGAACTATTTAGTTTTCCTCCTATCAATCCTCATATGATGAAATACTTATTATCACTAGAAAATTAGTCACCACAGACATTCCTCCACACTGATGTACCAAAATGCGAGTTGAGGGCGGAATAAGAACATGCAAGCGAGCGGTGCACAAGTCGACGGGAACATGTGCTCCAAACAATTCTTTGTTCACCACACACCCAAAAGGAGATTGGACATGGATAACAAACATTGCGTGGATATGGCGACGAGCGATGGAGGTGAGGGATGGACAGCTCTCTGTCTCATCTCCGAGGCAAAGTAGTTCCTTCTCATTTGTCAGCACATTTACTAGTGATTGAACTTGCAATTTAGATTTGTTAGACAACAAGTTGAAGTTACCACTATTGCTGGCAATCCCAACGCTTAGCCCAAGTGAAATATCGAAGAACAGAAGTTGGGGAATTTCTACAGATACTCATCTACGGACGAACTAAATACCAGCTGAGACGAGACATCTCGACGATCACGTAACTCGTGTATCATTTGACGCTTCACGAGAGAGAGAGAGAGAGAGAGAGAGAGAGAGAGAGAGAGAGAGAGAGAGAGGTACGGGATTGCGTGGCCTCGGTGTTTGGACACTGCTCACAGCAGCGGCAGTGTCATTAGCAATATGATTGATGATGGAAGCCAAGTTGTTCGAGTCACGAGGGCACATGAATGCGTGTGGGTGGATAAGCTTGGCTTTTGGCACGCCTGTGTGCATATAATATAATACAATACATATCATTCCGGCCAATAATTCCTTCAGTCAACAGCAGCGGCTCAAGATATGCCAATGAAGGCATGCTGCTCCTTTCTTTGTCCTGCTCAAAGCGGAGCACTTGCCGACGACGAGCATTGGCCCGACCGAGGTGGTGGAAGAGCCACCCTTTCTCTTCTCCCATCTCTTTCTTTCCTTCTTTCTTTCTATCCCTTTCAGTCCTCCCCCATATTGTCTATCAACCAATCAAAATAATATTTTTTTGCATCCCAAGTACGTTGAATAATTTTCATTAATCTCACAAAATCTAGGTAGCATCAACGAATTATTTTATGATCATCAAATCTGATAATTTTTTTGTAATAGATAACCAAAAAAATTTATACCAAACACGATCTCCAACTCAAGGCACAAATCGAAAGGCACGGCACGCTACCCCACCCCAATTGCTTCGTGGGTGTCTGCCGTGTCGTCCACTTTACTACCTTCAC